CTGCTGCCATATTCTTCTTCATGTACGTCAGCTTCTCTGATAATCTGGTCACCATACAGAATGAATATGTATAACGAGAGGATCCAACTCTGACACACACCTTCCCTGATTTCAAACCATGCAGTCTGTCCTTGTTCTATTTGCACAACTGCCTCTTGAGCCATGTCCAAGTTCCACAGGAGCACCATGAAGTGTTCTGGAATTCCCATTCTTCTCAAGGCTATCCATAGTTCGTTATGATCTACACAGTAGCATGCCTGGGCATAAACAATAAAACACAAGTAAACATCTTTCCAGGAGATTCCAGCCAATGAAACTCATGGAGTGCAGTTCTTCTCTGACACACATGGGGTCACCACGGGCTAGAATGGATTCAGCAATAAAGAACTTGGTTAGTCCAAACAGAAATGTTTTTTAAGATCCAAGACCGTCAGTTCTTCCATATGTTGGAGAGAGGAACTCTGAGGACTAAGTCTCCAGCTACTCCCATTTGGGTGAGGAAGAGCCAGCATCACACATAGAGGAGCTTAAACCAAGCAAGCAGAGATTCCCTGATCTAAGCGAAGTGTTTCAAAGGAGGGAATGGTGCACCACGTCCATTCCATCAGAGATGCGAGGGAAGATGAACCGTACGAACTGACCACCACCTTTCACAGTGGGGGCAATTGTGATCTTAAGAAGATCTGTTGCAACTGCTGAGGCAGCAGAAAATGCCTGACTTCTCTGAGATCAAGTAGAGACAGCAAATAGGAACAATTCAAGGACTTTTATTGTTAAAGAGAATGATAAATATAAGATGGACAGTTATAAACTGGAATATTGATGGAAATGATCCAGTAGAGAAGAGAAAAACATGATAAAATTATAATGGATGTTTTAAAGCACAGGTTCCCAAACTTACAGTTTACTGCCCCCTTTTCAGGAAAAATATTACTCAGTGCTTACCAGGCAATTAAAATTTTTGTGCTATAGCACATACTCCAGGATAAAGTGCAATTATCTTCTTTTGCTGCTATGCCCCAGCCCCACCCCACCCCCATCGTTCTAACACCTCTAGGGGGTAATATCACCTATTTCCAGAAACATTGTTTTCAAGGAACCATCCTTAAAATGAAACTTTAAAGTATAACTTATTGTGATCCCATTGGGGTACAGTAACCTTTGAAGGAGCCCTATTTACATTGTTTTCTTCTGGATGCATATGAATACCAAAAAGCTGCTCAGATAATTTTAATGGCATTATAACATAAACATTGCAAAGTAAATGGTTGAAGCTGTGTCTCTGTTGTTCTTAGCCTCCCTTTCCTCTGTAATCCCTCCATTTAAAGATATGAACATTTTGCGGCCCTACATTTCCACTTTACCATTCGTCTCTCTGTGTGTTGGCATCTCGGTTGTTGTGATACTAGAAACAATGCCATTGATATTTCAAAGGCCATCAGGATCACCCATGATGAGCAGGTTTAACAGTTTCCAGACTAAGGAAAAGGCGGCAGAAAAGCCTCCACTCTATTTCCAAATGTTAATGAGAAAAATAACACAGCTTTGACAGTGTGCTTTTGGCACATCATTGGGGAGACCCGTCACTAGCGGGGCTGAAGTAACAGGCCACTGCAAGAGAGGGCTGGTACCCTTCATGAAACAGATGAATGCAACAGCCAAAAAGATGCACTTGGTCATGTTGGCAATTGTGAAGATGGTGTAGGGTAACGTTTCATTCTGTTGTATCTAAGGTCATCATGGATCAGAGTCAAAGCACAGAGAGCTAATAACAAAATTTCTACCAAAATCGATGAAATGGAAATATTCATGCTGTGGGATTAATAATAGCATGCATCTACTTCCGTAGTATTTCTGCTTACTGAAATATTTTAGGCAAGAAAGTGGCTTGAGGGATTTACTTGAAAACATCCAAATTGGAGGAGGAAGAGGAGTTGGATAGGGTAGAAATGAAAGGAGTTGGCCATGAGTTGATAACTGATGAAACTGGGTGGTGGATACATGGTTGCTTCTCATACATTCTATCTGTCTTTTTGTATGTTTTAAAATATCCAAAATACAAAGTTAAACAAAATACAGGGCCGATATTGAAGTTGACCCAAAAGAATTTATTGAATGATGGAATTGTAGAATGCCTGGTAACAGATGAAGGGGCCCAGAAATATCTGTAGCTCTTCCCAAAGTTTGGCTTTCATATACAGAACAAGAATAGGTGGTGTTTTAACTGATCAGTAAGTGCCTCAATTGCTTTTAGGTAGAATTAATTTGAATGTCTCATTGGACAAATACTTTGGAAGACTTCTTTATTTATTCTAAAGGAGGCCCTGTTCTCTTAAACCACCTCTCACTTTAGGTAAGCATAAAGAATTCTGATCAGGGGTGATAAACCCTCTGTTTAAAAAAATTTAACCGAAAGTTATGTTATTCTTATGCCCTCTTGGCTACGAAACATGTATTGGGTAAAGTCAAGCTACCGTTATAGCACAATAGCAATCCATTTTATTGTCATTAAAAAGAATGAGCAGCTGATTAGGCAGTTATCTCATTACGATCTGAATGACCCCTTTTAAAGAGAAATTGTAATCTCTGAACTTCGTCATGCACATTTGTACATAACAATTTAAGTAGTAAAGATTTTTTAATCTTTCAAATTAAGCAGCAGTGAAAATAATAGATTTGCTGCATTAAATCTCTTTAAATATTAACCTGCTAAGTGTTCTTCAGAGTCTTCTAGTTACTCATTAGCCGTTTTACTGTGTTATTGTTCACTCTTGTCAGGGATCTCCACCAGGGAAAGTTGACAAGCCAACGCATATACGGATTTTCCCCTACACTCCAGTTATCCCACCCCTGCTCACTACATATTCATTATTAAAAGTGTACTATATAGCTGGAACTTATATATCCTACTTCAAAATTGAAGTGAAGTCGTTCTTGTGTGCTCTAAGACTCCTTTTCTATGATTTTATTGCCTTCAACCTTTCCTCAGTGTAAACTACTGAGCGAGCAAACACGATTTCCTTTGTAACTGATACCTACATTTCTATTCTGCTTTAGGCATCTAATTTGCACTGTGTAGACATATAATTTGAGACTTGTAGCTGTATCACGAAAGTACGATGGTTTACGCTGATCTCTAATTTTCTGAGTTGTATTGGCTATAATTTAAATTTTTTGCATGTTTTTAACTGGACTGCAAACCAGAATACACCAGGAATCTTTGCATATTTGACAGAGACTTGGAAAAGGATGCCTTGTTCTGATTTCAGATAAGCTTCCCTTTCTCAGGACTGCAGGTGCAAGGGGACTCATTCATAATATTTGCTTCAATTCAATCCCATTCACTTGATAGGAACACAATGCTATCTATTACTTGAGAGACTGTGAATATTTATGAAGCCCAGTAAACATGTTTTTAAAATCCTCTATTATCAGCAAAATCTAGACATGAGTAGTTTGTTTTTATTTTCCTTTGCCTGCCGATTAGGAAAAATATGTACTGTTGACCCATCTTCATCACCTAATTATTATGTGTGTATGTGTTGATTAAATCTAGAAAAACACTTTGCCATTCAGGTTTGAAACAGGATGAAATTGTGCCCTGTGGAAAGTCTGCTGCAAGAAATACATGTTCCATTAATGAGATAATTGATAGTGAATGTTAGTTTTTCCTTTGCCCTGTGTTTCACTTATTTTGAAGTCAACATGTAAGCCCAAAATAACCACAACATAAAAATGAACTCTAATTGCCCCAATTTCACATCATGAAGTAAATAGTCCTGAAACAAATGCTAGACACCAGTCTATGCAACAGTTACGCGAAGCTAGCTTGGTGTTTCCGTGATAGACTCTTTCTCGTAAGGTTATGACTTGACTGTTGTATAATTAGCTGCAGGCTGAAAGTTGGCACATCAGTTCAAAGAGTGGGAGTAAATTTTAGTCCATAAAACAAGCACAAGGATTAGCTAAACTTTCCTAGAACCCCAGAGGTCAGAGAAAGACTTTAACAAAATGTAAGGGCTCAGTGACCACCTAAGTAATGAGGTAAATTTTTAAAAATGATTTTTAATAGTATAGCAATAATAACAGCATTTCCAAAAATAAATGCTTGATCTACTTCAGCAACCGGTAGGAACTCATCCTAAATCATTACTTTCACTTGTTTTTTATGTCTTACTATTAGCCAACAAGCCTCTGCTACACCTTCAAATTGCACCTAACTCGCCCATCTCACTCCCCACTCCCCAAACACCCATTCTGACATGATTTGCCCTGGGCTTCCTTTATGATTTAGGAAGGGCAGATCTTGTTCTCCATTTTACCGATGAGGATAAGGTGGTTCTGACACAAGTGACCTGCCAGAGCTGAAGATGACCCAGGATTTTCTCTGCTTTCCAATCTCAGAGATTGATCTCACTGAGGAGTCCATGAGCAAAATTTCTTGACAAATCTAAAAAGATGATGATTTAAAGCACGAACATGCCTCCTGCGTTTGATTCATTCAAGCTAAGCTCTGTAGTGGCAGAAACACGCATGCTGTATCCTATTCCTTGGTGGACTAAAAAACAGAACACTCATTTATTTCCATCCCAGCTATTTGATCCGCAAGCCTGGCCTCAGATGCAAGTTAGTGAACCCAAGTACTAGAAAGATGGGGAGCGTGCTGGACACAGACAATGCCCTCAAGGAGAGAGCGGAATCCCTACATTGGCTTCCCTGAAAAAAAAAAAACACCCAGCCTTCTCCCTTCCAACTCCCCACATGATGACCGCTCCCCTAACACCCATGTTGGGGAGCACACAGTGTCTCCTCTCTGCGGCTGTCACTCTGGGAAGGAAATGCTTGACACTTGGCCTGCGCTTCGGAAGTTCTCTGGGAGACCACTGCTCACAGGGGCCCCTTTCACCTGGCAGGATGCTCTGGTCCAGCCGCTCTCCTTCACAGCCCCAGACCTCTGGCCAATGCAAGGGAAACAAAACAAAACAAAACAAAACACTTACCACTTCGGCCCAGTCCAAGAACAACTGAAAACACCCAGGCTGCCCGCAGAGCGCGGGCAGGACCTGGCCGGCAGCTGTGCAGGCAGAGAAGCGTGGCGGTGAGACCAGCCAGGGCCCAGCCGCACATAATGCACAGTCGCTCGCGCTGCGCCCGCCGCCTGGCTGCTTCGGGGGCCGCGCTCGCGCCGCCCGGCACCTCGGGGCCCGCGG